ACCCGCGGATTACGTAAGAATATTGACAAACCGTAAATAATCTGAGATAGGATCAGGCCGAGCACGCGACGTCGCGAGGCAATAAAGGTAATGTAGGCAAGATATTTGCCAATATCTTTGTAGAGTAGCCCTCCCGAATATCTCGAGATTGTGTTCTCCCTACATAAAAATTGTTCCAGAATAAAGATACTACCCGGATAAATATTCAATTTCGCTACGGACGAAAAAGATTTGATACCTTTGCTACGTACTCGCTTTATTGGATGATGGCCTTTGGAATGGTGAAGATAATCATATTCATAGTTTTTCAACTTATAAATTTTTTATATGATAGAAAAAACCTATCGACTTTATTGGTGAATCGGGTATGTTTACGTATCAATGTTTTATATGATTATACAGTACAAATATCTGAAGATATTTATTTCTAGTTCTAATCTTTCGAAACACCCTAATTAGGATTTGCTATATTAACAGTTCGTATTAGATGACTTATGTAATAATTTTTATAATTTTATGTTCTTAAACTTCATGAGTTTTTTCTATAGATATTTTTTTGCTATCAGTATTTTATCATTCTATCAATGAAGGAGTATCCACTAGTAGCGATTGCGGAGCGGCCCTTGGGAGGTAAGAGCGACATGTAGATGAAAAGGGCAGCTGAATCTAATACAATCGGGTAAAGCGATACTGGCTACTGCTATAGGGCTGAGTAGAACTTCTAAATATAAATTGTATTTTAATGGTTTTTGTTGACCATTTACATATTTTTATTGCTTGCGTGTATTTAAGTTAGCAAATGTTTGCCAGCTAATTGTATTTATGTTAATTATTGTAATTATGTTTTAAGGTCATACAGTAAATAATGAAAAATAAATGTGACCATAGTTATTACTATTTTTACGCATATTACTCGTACCTATGTTACAACAGACATTGCGTTTTATAATATTTTGAATATCGAGTATCGTATTGTTAGCAACCCTAACATCAATATGGGGAGGCCGGTATTGAATGAGATTGCTTCTTACTTCGCCAAATGGATCACGTAGTGGATGAGATGTCACAGTGTTTTAAGATACCAATTCGGACGATCTGATGCCGTACCACGCTCGTGTCGTTATTAAAATACTTTCATCATGTAGTCTTTATATCATCATTTAATCTTAGAAATTCGTATTATTTTGTAAATGTACCATAATATACATATTTTATATAAATTGAGTTATGAATCTTTTTAACTGAGGAGATTTAATATAACTCTTAAGTGAAAAATATTTAAGAACTATGTGTACGTCTTAAAGTATTTCCACATTGAAACTCATTACGTAATAGTTAAGCGCATTGCCAACATAATCAAGTAAATACATTTACACTCTGTAATTGGGAAATTCCCGAGCCGGGCGCCATAGACTCGTCGGCGGTGGGCGGGTGCTGAAAAACAATTTCACGCCAAATCTTAGCTTGTGTTTTCCTATTTCCTTTTTATTTATCTTTTCGTCTTTTCTTTCCTCGAGAATCAATTTCACGGATGAGTGTTGCGATGATCTCAGTTCAAAAAGCGCGAGGGTTCTTGTAAGGCGAGTTGCACGTGTGCAGTCCGAGGACGAGACGGCTAGTTGGCTATACTCATTATATGCTTGATGGTACAACGCGCTCCGATAATAAGCTTCTGCTCGCCGCTTCTTGTGATTGGATGACCCATGTTTGTTATCTGTACGACTGCCTCTCTTACGAAATCAATTTTAAACTCTTATCAATATAGCTTTTGATTTGTGCCTTTCTTTTATACATGTACTTTTTGAATTGAACAACTAAGTAGTGAATAATAGTGATTGTTTTGGCTCATACCCAGTTAGCATTGCGTATTTTGCTGATGCGGTACTGTCGGAGATTGTTAATAGTCCGCAAAGATATGTACTTATGTATGTAAAACTTATCAAGGCAAACTTTTATCAATATTTGTTTCGTTTATAAAATATATAGTTACAACTTAAGTTAATTTTCTTCCTCCTGTAAATGAGTCAATAAAAAAAATGTGAGTGTCAGATTATCTGTATGTAGTTGTTATGTTCAAAACTATGAATAATATTGATTCATGCATTAAAAACAATTAAAAATATGTACTGCAGTAGCAGAATAGTAGAGATCGCAGGCCAGCAGGTTCCGGACTATTCAAAATCGTCGGGTCCAGGCGCCGAAGCTCCCTCGGAATTGACAATTTTACGGACGGTTTATTTCCGGACACCGAACTTCCTTGCTTGGACCGACATACGCACCCGCCGCCCGCTACTCCCTCACCCCTTTCCCAGCAATGTTCATAAATATCACTTTTTCCTTTAACGAATTTTAATTAATTTAACATAAATTTATTGGTTATTTACTTTGAAATTCGTGTTTTTTACACGAGAATATGTTATTAGGATATAAATAAATTTGGTTTCATTTTATAATGAGACTTATCTCTTAATTTCTATCGTGATGCCATATATTTCTAAGGCAGTATATAAAATTTACATTGTATGTAAGTGTCTTAAGCGAAAGCTTCCCACTTAAAAGCTCTACAAATGCACTGAAAGCTCTTTCGCGCACTAATCCCAAACCTTTTAGCTGCAATCAAAAGCCCCGAGCGCTCGGCGCGGGCCGACGTGATGCTTGTGGAAGCGCCTAGGAATTTAATTTACATTTTTAATTAAGTTAAATTTTGTTCGAAAAGCTTTCACGGTATAAGAGTTTTCTTGATTAGAGTTCAGCTTTAGCTGAAGTTTGAGATTGATTAGTGGAGGTTTAATTGCTCTCTGCCGTTGAATAATGAATTCGATCAGTGCCGAGTCAGAAGGGAGTGTAGCCAGATTAGTTCAGCTCTAATAAGCCATTTTTTTATAAATTGTACAAAAATGTATTATGTAGTGCTTAAACTCTAAAATATTTTAAAATAATACCACTATAGAATATTTTTTCGTAGCATAGTATATTTTAATAAGTTCGTCATTTTAGTTTATTCGACAATATGTAAGGTAATGTCCATCATCACCTAGCGTCACGTTTGTCGATGGTTGCCACGTAATTGATGGCTGGGGTAAATTTTAACGTAATGCTGCTTAATTGATCGCGTTGATAATGCAAACACGATGGGAATACATAGCGATTGATGTAAGGATTTTTTTCTTAATCAAATGTTTTGACAGTTAAATAGCTAAGTGATTTTTTTAACAAAAGGTTATTTACATTATCTAAATCTGAGGATTAGCTATAAATGCAGAAAGCTAACTCAAACATGCTTAAACGAGTAAAGGAATCAACACCCACATCACGCACCAGAACGTTATAAAGTACCCGCTTGGTCGCTTGTAAATCGGTGACGGCACAAAAGAGCCTTGGTACTGACGTTAAAGCGAATAAATAAGAGACTCCCCCAAAGCACTCTCGGTGAGAACAAGTTGAGAGCCAGTGACGTACGGTTTGACATAGAATATTTTATTTGGGCCTGCGTCGCCGCCATCCATTCCACTTATCCCAACGCTCTGCTGAATTTTTGACACGTCTGCGAAGAATTGGTCTTTTTATGCCTGGTTTACTGTGACAGTAGCCTTTATATTGACATTATGCGGCGTGTAACGCGAGGAGACAATTACTTTTTGTCAGGGTTATATCTGGTGACAGTTTATTCTTTAGTACTCCATGAGTGATGTTGCAGTGGCGTTAGAATGTATGCTATATAATACATTACACTTCTTTTTTGGCGATTATTTGATTAATTATAATAGATAAACAATCTTAAAATTTATTTTATATCATGTCAGCCCAGGTTGGATCGCGTAGCACAGCTGCCTAACCTCATCCAAACGGACCGAATCCGGCGCAAGCAATCCATATTAGATTTGCCCGCTCTCATATCCATTCTGAGATGTTCATATTTTATTGGGGCCAATAAAACGGATTCATGAATATGAGAAATGCATAACGAATATCGTATTTATGGATGGAGGCGCGCCCGCTCCACGGCGGATATGTCGCGAGTAATTTGATAGCCGCCTTTGTAACAGGTGCTGATGGGAATTTCGATGTGACTGTAAAAGTTAGCTTATACGCTTTTGAATTTGATATTCATTTGGTAAAGTGAGATTTGTATACTATAAATAAGTAATTAATAATTGAAATTACACTAGGCAATAAATGATTAGGTATAGATAATTTTTTTATTTTTATCTTTCGGATTTCTTTTTTTTTATCTTTTCCTTATTATATAATATAAATATGTGAACAAGTAAGATACAAAACTATTCTAAGAAATTAATTAATTTAATAATAAATATACTTATTAATTATTTATATGTATAGTAATAAACAAGGATTATTTATATAATTTAAGAGAAAATTATCCTATAGGTATACATATAATGGCTTTTATAATTTTTTTTAAATAACTTTGATACATGATTTAGATAAACGTTAAACATACAAGGCATCAAGTTACGAGCCACGAGAGATATTAGTGCCTCCTTCGAGTTTCAATTTACAGCTCGCATGGACATCTCAACCTTTAAGGGAGACACTACTAATAGTGTGTTGTATTCTCTTATGTTGTTCAAATATGAACTCTTTGCCTTTAGTATAAGGAATAAGGATATTGTTATTTATATAAATGAATCGAGTGTTGCAAATAAAGCCCTGTTTCTGGGGTACAAGGTATGTTTTCGTAGTTGTTCAATTATGTTGCCTTTTGACGGCATTTTGTCGGAGTAATAAGGTCTCACACAGAGTGGACGTAAGGAGAGGATATCGTTTATTCTAATGAGGTTTCACTACGAGACGCGTGCTGCTCAAGTTGTCGTTCTCAGCAATATATAGTACTCGTATTGCCTTTTAAGATGTAAACTTTCATGGAAATATACCTTTAGTAATTTGGATCATTTAGAAATGTCGCACCGTAGTTAATTTTATGTCCCTATTGTTACAGGATAATTACTGCCGTGTGATGCTCGAGTGACGAGCTCAATATGATTCGTGATCCGCCGGCCATGCACAAGCCCGACAATTCTAATAGTAAGTTATTCAGAATAATTATCTAACTTTGCTTGATTATATCTAATATTATTAATACAAAATTCAAACTTTACGTAGGGTCACAAAACTAACTAGTAAAAAAACAACAATAACAATGCGATTTGCGATTCGCTGATGTAATTTTTTATATTAGGACAAACAGGTCGTGAATAAAACGGGAAGGGTTGTGCCATAAACCGCCCGGCTACGTCCGTCGCGATATTAAAAAGGGGACGAACGATATTGCAATATCACATTTATGCGAAATGTCCGACATTCAGATCGTATTGATAAAAATAAGCGATTTTTTATTATAGGCCACAACGGTACCTCGTCTATTTAGTATTTACTACACACAAAATGAATTGGCGCCATCCATTCGCTTTCAAGATTCCTACTTTTTTAAATGGATTTGTTTAATACATTGTTATATTACAATAGCCTCATCGAAGCTGGCAGCCCTACTACAATTTTTCCGAACTTTATGGGACCCTTATCGTAATCAAAATCGAGTTTTGCGTTATTACAGCTATTAACCAAATCGACGAGATGGAAAATCGAATATCTTAACATGGTATCTTTTATATTTAAATAATATTAACTTAGGGACATTTGTTTACATTATTTCAAATTTTTAACACATTTACAATTGATTCAAATAATGTTACATAATAAAGCGCTAATTTAATTTTAATTTAATTTACATATACATACGTTTACGTCTCACGATATATGTCGAGTTATTCGAGACTTCAATTTTTCTCGTAATAACCCCACAAATTCATATGAGCAGTGAATGCACAAGCAACTGCGGAAAATTGCGGAGACAGTTGGGTGGGTACGAGCGTGCATGGCGCACTATGGCGCGCGGTGCGGCGAGCGGCGAGGTGGAACGTATCCGCGGCGCCCGCGGCGGCTTGGGCGGCCCTGATAAAATTTATGGCCACTTCCCCTTTAAAACAATATTGAGGGCTCAGTTGGGATTTATGTCTCGCCGCCGCTGCAGCGACTCAATTTATTCTTCAATTTTTCATACAATAACTCACATACGTATTAGGAGTGATGGATGAAAAAGACTAACTTTCGGGCTTTAATAAGAGCCTCCAGATGCGAATCTCCAAATTGGCTGAAGTTTATTGCCCACTTATGTCAGGCTTTGCTTGCCCTCGTAGCCATTCTCAGCGAAAATAATTTACGACGTTGATTGTGTTGACTTAGTAAACGTTTCATTGTCTTATTTGATTTATTTCTACATTTATTTATTTAAAATTACATAACTTTACTTTTTGTCGATTAAGAAAATATTTTCTAATATTTTGATAACAAAATCAAGATTTTTTTGTGCACACATTTTCAGCTAAAATCAACTGTAAACAAATCACGAAGAATTTCTTCGTACATAGCGTAATTTTTTTCTTGTGTACAATAATAATATAAAATGATAACATGGACACTAACAAATGAAAGGAAAATATGAAGTAAGATGAAACAGAGATAGTATGTATTTATAATAGGAAAATAGCTATTGGACGAGTGAATCGAGCGTTGAATACTAAATGGAACATTCCGATTAAAACAATATACTGAAGCAGTAAAATTATTTTTTCAATTTATTTGAATACTGGCAGTTATCAAGTAATTCACTATTTCAATTAATAAGTATCAATTGGTCGTATTTAGGGTTGCTATTTGAATATTATTAACAATAGATATCCACATTTTCTTTGAAAAATAAATTATCTTTTAATACCACTAATGAAAAGCAACTAAGATACGGTTTTCTGCCATAAAATAATTGGAATTTTAATTGCTCAAACAGAAAACTCTTTCTTTAGAAATCGTTTACCACTGCCATTAGGCTTAATTCAAAAATTAATTTAAACTTTCACAAGGTTGCGTCGGGAAGCGAGCTCCGGCGTAAAGGCAATATCAATTTCATAATTTTAATTAAAAAAACTAACTTCTCTGATGACAAAGTCTCGTACTTTTTTAATAACGGAAATGTTAACGATGGCGGCTTTAGGAGGGCGAGGGACAGGGAGGGGCGCCTGTGAGATCTTTTAGCCATTGCTTACTTGGAATTTTAATAAGGCTGTAGAACATATTACCGTATTTCAAATAATATGTATTTGACAGTGTAATATATAACTACTGTATTTACGTAATGCATCCTCTTTATTTACTATTTTATAAATGTCAAAAAATAGTTAATTTTCCAAAAACAAAACTAAGCACTACATTAAACATTAAAATATATGCATTTTCACAAGTTGCCATTAGAATTAAAATAACAGTTTTAATTTCATTCTTTCTTGAATACTATTATTAATATTTTGTTCTTGGCATTATAAAGTGAAAAAAAACGCATGTCACAATATGCAAGTTAAACATGAAAATATACGAAGTTAATTAAGAAATGATCACGTAATTAAAACTACATCTCCATTACGAACAATTTATATATGCACCGTTTTTAGAAAGTATAATAATGATATTCACAACGAGCTTGTTATGTTTTTACGTTCATTATTAAGGTAAAACCCGCATTTGGTTAAATCTAATTACGCCCGCATAATGGATATCGCAACAACGCAATCAGCTCCATTGTTTAATGAGTGACCGACAAGTGAAACTAAATAAACCATAAAGCATTCAGAATAGCTGCAACCGCAAATTCTATGTGTAAATCCGCCTATTTTAATTTATTTTACTCAAAAAGATATGAATACACAAAGAGTTCTTAGCGAATTTGAAAATCTATACATATAATAAAATTGTGACTAAGCCGAATCTGTCTGTACATTGAATATTTTTTGGAATATCTTATTGAAATAGACTTTAATATCGATACAGAGGCCGAATCTATAGTTTTTAGATTTTTTGTCTGTCTGTTTCTGCATCACAAAAAAACTACTGGACGGATTTTGATGAAATTTGGTGTGGTCATAGCTGATTATCTGGGTCAACATATTATAGGATACTTTTTACCGCGGAAAAATATCTCATTTCTGAGAAAAAATACAAAAACTGCAATGTAAGAGTGTACTAATATGTAAAACCTAAGAATTTGGCTTTTGGTCACCTGAACGCGGGCTGAGCCGCGGGCAATGCTAGTATACATATAAAGTTATTGTAATCATAGCAGCAGATGTTTTATAATTAAGTACGTAATATTAAGGCAATATTTATTAGATGAAACTATTTTTTAGTTTATTTTTACGATGATATCTTGAATACAAATGAAATTTACATAAAGATGTAACTAATTAAAAATTTACAACTATTTTCCATATGAAATAGTGTTTCATTATACACGTAACTAATATAATGTAAGATTATAAAAAACAAGATAATAAAAAAAAAGTAATGCCGCTGAAATTCAAATCATTAGTGTGGGGGATAATATGTGCGTAACACATCGAGTATTCATCACGTTTCGCTCGTACGGGAAGGCCATGTTAATTGCAAAACGCAGTGAACGATTGTAAATCGCACGGAATGATTGCGGAGTGGTCGTGATGCGGGTTCATTACAATAACCTGACATTTAATTGAATCCAAGGAATGCTACCTACTGTGGAGACACGCACCACTACACTTATTTCACTACTAAAGCATTTGTTTCCGACCATGTTGTTAATATTTTAGCTTTTGTTTGCCGAACGATTAACATTACAAACGTAATTATTTCTTGGTATGTGCAGAAATTGTTCATATTAATTGCTTAGTGCTAAGGCGGGCTTAATATTTACATTTATTAAATATTTAGATATGTAATTTATGAATATGTGTACATTGCGTTATGTTTTTATGACTATAAACTAGGGACGTCCCTAGGTACGTTTTATTTTTTTTTGAGTGGAATCGTAATTCTTTTTGTATAATAAAAGTAGCCTATGTTGCGTCCTATAACATCAGCTTCCAGTAAAAGTCCCGTCAAAGTCGTTTCAGAGATTATCCGGAACAAACAGACAGACAAAAAGACAAAAAATTTTGAAAATTGTGTTGTTCTTATAAGCACCGTATATAATTTAATATGTATTTAGTAAAACGCTTGTATTTTGACATTACAAACAGACACTTCAATATTATTTATCTGTATAGATAATTATAAATTGAATTATTAAACAGGATAAATGGAGTTCGAATAAGTATTTTTGTGAAATAGAACGTTTGAGATGAGTATCATACGCGTCATTGCATTTGAAGACGGAAGTTTGAAATCGAAATGGTAATAATGTGTTAGTGGTATTGCTATTACCTATACGCTTGCGCTAAAATAAATTACTTTTCATCCATTTCCGGATTTCTTTTCATTTCAACGCCTTAATACTTTGGCTGCCGGCTGTGTTGGCGAAATTATACGAGCGGGCCAGTTCGCAGCCAAATCTCTATCAAATTCACAACGCGGTGGCAATAAAAATGGAAAATACAAAGAGACTTCCTTCACTAACGGACATTTATGTAAATCCAACTTTATTAACTCGCTCCACTTTATTGCTTCATTTATTAGGTTATTATTAACGCGTTACGAGCCACACCTAGATAGTCGACATCGTAAGCAGATCTTATGCACCATTGTGACATTTATAAATCGCCAATTCTCAGGTGTATTCATTGCAATGGAACAAGAAATATTGTATTTATTTGCGTCTCTCTGTGTGAAGTTGTACCTAATATAAGATTACTTGAAGGTACTTTACTGTTGTTTATTCCATTATAAGTATAGATAAGGACAATTAATATCCATTATTCCTTATAATCATTTGGTACAAGTCGATAATTACAACATTAACGTTATAAACTACCTGAAATGGTCATAACGTGCTGGTATATGCGCGCGCGCCGCGCTCCAAGGAGCATTCTTTGAAAAATATAAATATCTACTGCAACACACTTGAATAAATCAAATATTTTTTCCTATGAAAGCGTTGCTTCCATTTACTTACTTTATTTGTATATTAGAATACTTGAACATATTAACTAGTGTTTAGTCATTACCTACTATGAGAGTAAAACATCACAATAAAATACAGTTAACTGTAATATTACAAATATAATATTCTTTTCTCTATATAATATTACTTATAAATTAATTTACAATAACCATTTTTATTACGATTGCTATATATTTTAAAGAAGTTTTAGTTCTAATACATCGTCAGTTGCGTAAAGTTGATTCGCACTTAACTACTATAGAAGGTAGTTGCTATAGAATATTAATGAGTGCCCATACACAAGAAACATCGAGCGAGCTTGGGTGGTGCCTCTCCTGCGGCTCACTAACTGCGTCTTGCAAAGCCTGGAGGTCGTACGTCATCTTTATTATTTTATTATTAACGAGCCACCATTAATATAGTCCAATTAACTTTATTGTCGCGACGTCGACTCCAATGAGCGAGATGTATTGACGATGAGCGAGTGATCGATCGAGATGAGTTATGTCCACATAGTTACCCCTTCAATTGGATCCCTGATTGGTTTGACGTACCATTATTATGAGAACACAACACGTGAAACTGATTGTTTTTTATTGATTTTTTCCCCTCTTTTTATCTTTATTTTATACTTGCCCTGTTGCTTTACAATTACATTGTATATATTTAGTTTGTTACTTTAATTTTTTAAGTAAATGTAAATTGGTATTTCGTTCTTTGGCTTATCATAATCATGTGTAAATATTATTACTCACTAATTATTACTTTGTAGGTGTTTGAATTGTTTCTGTAATGATTTTTGGATTTTATTACTAAAGCAGTGCCTGCAATTATTATATATATTATACTTATCTAAAATTTGCGTGTGCGCAATGTCGTCAGAGAAAAACACGTCACGCGGTCGCTGCTGCTCGAGTTAATTGAAGCAATTACACGGGAGAAAACAATCGAGCTAGATGAATGCCATAATGAAACGCGTATTATGGACAATTATCTACCAGGCTCGTAGCGAAACAGAATGCATTATGTACTCCACTGTTAACTAAATTAATCATAACGCTGTTGTGTCGAGGTAATTTAGCATTAACCAAGCATTATAATTAAAATTATTGTGTTTTTGCTACGACATCTAAATTTAATTAATAATTTATTGATATATACGTGTAGGAAAATAATTATTTTATGAATTTACAAAGTCATAATTAAATTAAATTAATACTTTCTTAGATTTACGCGAATGTTTGACATTATTAAATAAAACTATCTTTTCGGATTATTTCGCGGATTTATTTTGATTTTTGGTTCCCGACGTAAAGCATTCGAAACGTCGGGAACCAAAAATCAAAATAAATCCGCGAAATAATCCGAAAAGATAGTTTTATTTAATAAATTAAATTACTTTATATAAGGTATTTTAATAATTATTGAAATTAGTTATTTTTAAGCTTAATATAAATAAGACAAATACGACGATAACAGTTTGTTATTAAATGATTTGATGATAGATAAACAGTGAATTATTGGTTCAGGTCAACAAGAAGAGAACAAGTATGCGCTCAGTGGCGTCGGCAACAACCCGGGGGGCGCGAGGCTGTGCGCTCAGTGTGGGAAGGTCATCACGGAGAGGTTCTTACTGAAAGCTATGGAACGCTTTTGGCACGAGGACTGTCTCAAGTGCGGTTGCTGTGACTGCCGCCTTGGCGAGGTCGGCTCCAAATTGTACTATAAAGCCGACCTTATGCTCTGTAAGAGAGATTATCTTAGGTAAGAGTCATTCTTAATAACAATTTATCATAATCGTATTAACACCTCCAGGTAAATTTCTAAGAAATTAATTAAATTTCTAAGAAATAGGTATATTGTTAACTGTAACGCCGGCGTGTTCGCGGCCGTGGAGGGATTAAATTAGATAAAGAATATTTAAAAGTCAGTCGACATAATTATACTACCATTTTAATTACACTTAAGTTTATAAATATTATATTAATTATCGTAGAAAAAGTTATCAAAACTTTTTATCGTCGTTTACTATCGATTCGTAACCTGACACTACGTGCTATTGAATAGATTATAAATTCTATGGACAGAGGATTCGTATTGAATTTCTGATGCCATTTGTAATCCATACAAGGATATTTATCAGCAAGCGATTGCGTTTACATTAAATCCCAATAACGGCCGATGTAGCACTTAAGATAAATATTTCTGAATTGAATTCCTGACATGCGTCATGTAAACTTGAACTAAAATACGATAAAAAATATAACGTCAGCCTTCACATTTTAAATTGCATTACACATTTTAATATTCATGTGATATATTAACAGGTTATTTGGAGCCACAGGCAACTGTGTGGCGTGCAACAAAGTCATTCCCGCTTTCGAAATGGTTATGCGAGCAAAGAGTTTCGTTTACCACTTAGAATGCTTTGCTTGTCAACAGTGCAATCACAGGTAGATTCAATTTTAATTGTTAAATTTAAATATTAATTTATGTTAATTCTATTCTAATTGTATGAATACTTTTATTATAAATTAAAATATAACAATGTTTTTTTTTTCAATAATATTAATAGATAGCAATTTTCAATTTACATAAATTATCAGTGCCAATTTTTGAAAACTATTTCACCAAAAATTCTATGAAATAATCAATAAAAGGTAACACAGGGACTATAAATCTGTGCAGGTTTTGTGTGGGCGACAGATTCTATCTCTGTGACAACAAGATACTCTGCGAATATGATTACGAGGAGAGGCTGGTTTTTGCCAGCATGGCGGCTAACCCCAGCGGCTTAGCGCATATCAGAAGACAAGTTAGCGGACTACAGGTCAGTTACATCTCTATCATGACTAATTAAAATAATAATTATAATATAATTACCGTCTTTATTTATTGTTTTTAATCTCTACATTTTTTACATGCACAGTATATACAACGTGTAGTTGTGTACTTATATACTTTTATTGTTTTTATCAAAACAAAGAGAAATTTTACTTATAAAATTTATGATATTTGGATATTTTTGGGTGAATATTAAATCATAATGAACGGTGAGTAGTTTAGAATCTACGTTAGAAAATATGTAAATACAAACGATATAGAGTGCTTAAAACAAACCCTGTCTTTTTTTAGCTTTGCCGTAAGCGGGTAAAAAGGATTCATAGGTTTCCGTAATTATTATTTATGATGTAATATTTATTGATTGCTTTTAAACAAAAACTATAAAAGCTAAAGAGTATTTCACACACATGCTCCTCAGAATATATAGTTTAATAAAAAAAAAACGTAATTTTATTATTGTTTATTTACAATTAATTATATCCCGTTTAAAACAAATAGTTTTAACTTGTTGAACGAGAAATAGAACGTAATTATCGGTAATGGATAAAAAAATATACGCGATTGACAAGTTTAATTGTAGTTCCTTATTTAATCTTACATTACCTGCATTTCTTCCTATGAATTTATAAACATATTATTTTTTTTATAAAAATTCTTCAGTAAATAAATGAATTGAAATCAATACCCTTATAGTATAAAAAATTTAAGAGTGACGGATTTCGTGATTTTTTGTGTGAATATAGTTGGAAGCCCGGAGAGTGACATAGGTTACTTTTTACCGGATTATCACATCCCATGGGAAAACACGTTATAATACAACCTACAATAACTCATCATACTTATGTATACATATATGCAATATATGTATAGTCTATCTGTTCCATAATAACCGCTAAAATATTCCTAAGGCAGAAGCCGAGCGAGGCGAGGATGAGCCGCTAGTAAACTTAAAACGCAAAATATATACTTACGTTAACAAAGTGTTCATTAATTTTATTTTAACAACATGAAATTTGTTGTACTACTACTAATAATCTATGGACGCAGTCTCTAATTATGTGAATATTTCATTTTTAATCAAAGTATCATATTGCAAGTTCCCACCACGTGGACTCAAAACACACTGCCACGTCCGATCAATTACGAGCTTTTGTTATGACGTGGACCAATAAACAATAGAACCCTTATATGAAGCTACCTTTTGCTTTGTTTCATTATATAATATAAATAAAATGTATATTGTTTATGAAAATGGCTTTTCCTAAGTGTATAATAATCTATACTTCTCTACGTACGAGCTTATTAAGAAAGAAGTGGCCTGTTTTGTCGATATTTTAAACAAGCAGTCATTTTTATATAAGAGTGCCATATTATAATTTCAGAGGGCCAAGTTTTACAGTTAAATAGTTTGTGTGAGCGGAGCGCTGTCGTAAATGCTTGGGCGAAGCGAGGGCCTATCGCCTTGTTATTAATATGAAAGGCTTATCCACAGCTTTTGTATCGTCGAACAAAACAAGTCTTTACAGCATTATACGTACACTTATCGATTTATTACGGACTCGGTTATTATATACGCCTGTTTGAATTTTACAAGGTACACTAAATTGCCTAGTTCTTATAATGGTACTCGGTTTGCGTATACATAATAATGTGTAAAGAGCTTTTTTACATGACCCATCCTAAATAAAGGCACGTGAAAAAGTAGGCTCCGGGGGAGTAAATAACTCCCACAAGGACACTGTTAGTGGAAGATTCTATCTCCACTTTATTATGTTTCTTTTGTGATCATTAATCTTTCTCGTACGAACGCTTGTCGGAATGCGAATGTGGGGGAATCTATTTCATTTTATGAGTCGCGCGAGTAGAGGGAACCCATTCAGCCGCACGACATTCCTAATCGACTTTTTGATTGCGCTCACGGTATACTGCGGGGCGCTTGACAGGAGAATTGCCAACATTGAAATCGAATTAGCGTTAGTGTTGCGTTGCGTTCTTTTTTTATTTTCGAGGGAATCACAAAGTTGAATATACAACTGATAAGTTTAAATTAGCTATCCTTAGTCCTTACAGAAACATTAAGATATATATATGTTATAAATATGAGATACATAGTATGTATTTTGTTATTAACGTGTTTTTGCATTTCAGTCGCCAAGCAGCGGATATGTTGGGGGAGCGAGCGGTTGCGCGGGCGGGGCTGTGGGCCCATTAGCAGATAAGGATAATGGAGGCTGCGCTGGCGCAGACGACGCGTCCAGCGGATACGGCAGCCCACCTGATCCCGACGTGTGCGATGCTGCGCGATGACCGACAATGCCTCGCCGACTACTTGCCTCGGTTAGTTCCTTCGATTTATTGGCTAAAATGGCTATGTATTCTTATTCATATAAAAGAATAAATCATAAAGGAGTAGAGGAAATATTTTAGGGTTAATACTAAAAGAAGAAAAACATTTGTTATATTAAATACATACATATGTATATTCTTAATTATATATAAATGTACATAAATGTATTGTTTTATAATTATTTCATATAAAAATAAATCACTACTTGTACAGTGTACATTAGAAATAGCATTTTCAAATATTTGAATTATGTCTACAGGTGAAACCTCACTGAGCCCTGGTGGAACGGTTCAACGCCAAGAATCATTTGCGCATAGAGTCGCCCAACAGGAGATCATCACTAAATTTTACACAATCACATAGATAGTGTTGACATTTGTTTTTATAAATAAATACACTGACACCACTAAAATATGGCCACAATGCTTTGTTTTATCAAATTTTATAGTGTATAAAACGATTAAAGTGCAGTTTGACGAGAAGTGCAATTTTTAGAGACTATTAAAACGTTGAGCGACTGTACAATGAATTTATGCAAAACCTGCTAAGTGCATTACTACATCGAAGTGTTTCAAACATAGTTTAAAAGCGCCGCAGAAGTACATTAGGATAGACGGGCCGTGGATGAGGCCACTTTACAAAATGTCCGGGATGAGTCGCGATAACGTTGTCAGAACACGATATTTCCATTATGTATACGATTTGAGTCTACATGTTAAGATAGCGTCGCGTGGGTAGAGCGCCGGCTCTCGCCCCTACTTCACTGTATCATACTACATCGCGCTTAGCAAATTTAGCCATTCTGAGTATAGTTGAAAATAAATCACGTATCTTTAAATATGTATTTGTATAATTTAATTTAGTTTGTATATTACCTACTTATAAATTTTCATACAACGAGTCAGGTCCACAGCATATATGTTTGATATAATCGATCTCATTGTTATAAAATTTTATGTACAGTAGTGTACCTAAGTATTGTTATCATACAAGGTATGAACTTTAATTGTGGTTGTTTATCTTTTTATTTTTCTCTACAAATTGGTTAAGTAGGTATTTTATTGTTATTTTTTACCAAAGATATTTTCCGCTTAATGGTTTTAGTCTTCGAAGATGAGCTACTTTTATAGATTTTATTATTAGTGATACCATTTTTGGTACTCCGAAGTGGTGCAATGGTTGATAGTTAAGTGTCTCTGTATAAATAAGGTTATAAGATATTTTGTAAATTGTATTTTCTTATTTTGCCATAGCTTCAATGAATGTTGATTGCATATACCAATAATACATTTAAAAATATGTGGTTTACAGATCGGTACGTTGTTTTAAATAAGGGTGAGGTTCAAGAAATTTAGCTATACGCTTAAAATTTTTAACATTAAATAAACATAATTATTGTAAAATAAAAATTTCTACGATTAAAAATGTATTTATGTAAAAATTCAAACTGTCGTTACTTAGAATTATCTGCTAGAATAGTACGTTTCGTCTAACACGTTGTATCATAGAAACAACAAATAAAAATCTCAAACATCGACAGAGTTATTTTTCATTTGACCGTTACTATGTAAATAAATATATTTATTTAACGACTCAGAATATGTGTTATTATTTATTACCTCCTGTCATAACATTTGCAACGGTAAAAAATTGGAAAAACTTATTGAAATAGTTATTATTAGCGGTACAGAGGCCGAATCTATAGCTTTTTTGAATTTTTATCTGTCTGTCTGTCTGGAAAAACATCACGAGAAAACCACTAAACAGATTTTGATGAAATTTAGTATGATGATAGCTGGTTATTGCGGAGCGAGGGTGCATCGCTAGTAATATTCATTTTTTTAACTATAAAATGAAAAATATCACATCTTTTTAATTATTTTATTTTCTTGATTGTTCCAAGACCTACGGTAATATATTTGATCCACTTTTTAATTATTTAAATGTCACAAGCTTGATATTACGAATTATATAATTTTAAAACATACTAAAAACCGAATAATACAATATATATATATACACACACTAGCGACGCAGTTTGCTTCCCCATACAAATTTTCATTCCCATTTTCATTCTCTTAAGTGATGATTTCCGGGGTGAAAATTAGGTCCTTCCCAATTTATCTTCTTACCAAATTTCATCTAAATCGGTCCAGTAGTTTCGGAGCTTATTCGGTACAAAGAAACAAAGAAATTATTCCTCTTTATAATATTATTTATTATATATACATATCTGATATATTTAAAGGAGCAATTCTTGTATATTTATACATGTATACCGGCGAAACGGCTCTAAATATTCGCAGAAATTTAGTATGTCAGGGTCTTTGGGGGCGAAAAATCGATTTAGATTAGTCTTATGTCTGGAAAAACGAGTGTTTTCGAGTTTTAAAAATAATAGTTATTTAAAATGGTTACAGGCTGCTTATGTAACTTTGACATAAGAACCACAATAATCTTTAAACTTATTGAGTTATGGTTTATTTTCGATCACGGGGGTCGGAGAGTTTCTTAAAGTAGTGTTTTTTACTATTACTTACGAGTATGTTCTTTGTTTTGTAAAATTTTTATACTTAGTTTTAGTTTTTTTTACATTAATGGTCTAATTTTACAATACTTTAAAATGAAACTAAAAATAATAATATTACTACTAATTCAATATATTTATTTACTTACAATTGTTGTTTTAGTTATAAAGATTACTATAATGCCAGATTGATTCAATATACAGAACAAATTAGAATATATACATGTATATAAATAGGCAAAGACTAAACAGTTCAATGCCTTGTACTCCTCTGTTTGTCGATTTTCTTTTTTTTTGTTTAGTAGCTATTGACGAGCTTAAGTTGTTATCAATAAAAAAATATGGTATAGGTATATGATCGAATTTCGACCCCATAAATAGTTTAATATTATTCTAATTCTTTCTAGAATATTCAACGTTGTTATATCCTTAGTTTAGATATTCTTACAGATGTTAAATTGTGTTTGTGGATTTTTCTCTATTTCATTTAGAGCAAAGAAGGAACATTTTGATCTAATTTTAAAAACGATAGAATTTTTTTTCTTCTTCTTTTCGTTGTCCTTTTTCCACACCACGTAGGGTCGCACAACATGTTTTCTTCTTCCACTTCTCTCATGAAAATCATGATTGAAGTTCATGGGCTGGAAATTACACAATTAGCCAACTTTTTGATTGACTTCAAACACCAGGAGACAGCCATTTTGAATACATATTTGATACGCAGTACCAGTGGACCAAGTTTTACTATAGGTACCTATATGTAAAATAAAAAATGTACACCTAATCATATTATCTTGCAAACATTCTAGGAACGTGTGATTAGTTGCATATTTTTTACTGTTAATGATTAAATGCTAATGTTTTTAGCATATTTTATTTTATTCATACTTCAAAATACTCGTAAAGTTAGTAAAGTTACGAGGGAGACTATATAAAGCATTCCATTTATAAAAAGCACTTAAAGAAATTCTCACGTACATTCAAGATATTTGGGATTTTAAAGTACTTTGGGCTTTGCACATTGTGCTAATTGGCAAGAGACCTCATCCGACAATATAATCTTTTTGAATCACTTAAAAATACATCAGGTTGTTAAACAAAACGCGGCTGGTGTGTTCGTGAGAAACATAAAGATGCTACTTAGAAAATAAATTGTTCTTTATTGATTGTAGCTCAATTAAGTAGCTCTTATGTTTTTATTATTCCGTTTTAGACTGAAAAATATCAACAATTCCACCTTTGAACGTGCACACAAATTCTCCGAAAAACTCCGAGAATGAAATGTTCGACCCGACGCTTTTTGAATACATTTAACAACACAAATCCAAACATGTGTGTTTTATTCTTTATAATTAGGTCGGTGTTGTGTTTTTATTGTACCGCGCTCGCTGGGAATGTCCATAAAATTCTCCACGACGAGACGCATTAACGAGCGTCGTTTAGTTGTTTGCTGTTTAAATAAGAGCAGTAATGTAATTTTAATGAGCTCACAAAAATGTGTGCGTATTTCTCTGTATCAGGCGACGCCGGCGCAGTATCCTAATGACGCAATATATTCATACAGATGTACTTCTCTTGTAGTGTTGACAAGTTTTCTTCCGACTACAAAGACTTGTTTGCCATTTTATTATATATTCAGTCATTAGCCGTGCTGTTATAATTTATAGTGGTGTAGGCTGATAATAGTGCGTGGTAAACTTTAGAACAAAGAATCACTAGAGAAGAAACAGAATTTGCCTCAGTTACTCAGAGTTGCGAAGCGTACGTTCGTCTGTAAAAATCCACTTAAACTTTTTAATTAAATTTCTGATTTTTCTCCACGCCATGAAGAATCTTATACGAAAAGCTTTATTGAAAATGTAATATTAATTAGCGTACTGAGCTAATGACTGTAATCGACTTTCACGCTAGCACGCACTGGTCCGAGCTTTTAAATGGATATTAATAATGTAATGGAAACTTTAATTTATATTAGCATATGACCTGTTTTTCTAATAGATCAAAATATATAAAATTTATTGTTTTGTATATAAAACTGATAAAAATATCATAAATTACAGTTCTAATTTCGATTCTAATATTACTATTGAAATAGTTTTAAAAAGTTTTTCTTACATTTTACATTATTATTTAAAAGATGTTGCTAATAGATCAGTAATAGAACCGTCGTTTTCCGAAGTGCCTCGGCATTATACAATTTTAGACCAAACTCGATAGTCTGTCGAATTCTCGAATTATGTAAAATATACAAGTTAAACCGGGAGTCAAGAGCAAGGTAGATTAATTATATATTATATTACAAATTAACTTTTTTGAAGTAGGCACTAAATATAATTAATTTTATCACTTCTTATTTAAAAAAGGCTTAATTATGACATACAAACGCAATGATGCCTCCGCTTACTGACACACATAATTTTAAATGTTTATAGCCTAAATCGCCCAGCATATGAATTCAACCTGCTACCAATTAATTAGTTTCTCAACATAATATATAGGCGACGCAACGTGTTATTTTAAAAAGAAAAATTAATGCTAATAACAATTCTTAATGATATTATGTCAGGCGCTCACATGTTAGGGCTAGAGAGAAGTTAGCGTTGTGGGTCCGTCAGGGTAGGCCATACTCGGGGTATTTTTATGATAGCATGTTGGCCTCACGCAGGGAGTTTAAAGCCGCGCTCAAATACATACAATGTAATCAAGAACGCATTAAAATGGAAATGCTGGCTCGGCATCGTTCCACTTGTAACTTTGTTGATTTTTGGAAAGAAACCAAAAAGCTTAATAATAAAAATTGTGTACCGGTGAGTGTTGAAGGAGAAAGAAATAAAAAAAATATAGCAAACTTATTTAAAGATCATTTTAATGTACCTAATAAGCAAAACAGTGTAATTAGTAAATCTAAAAGTAAACTTCAGTCATCTCGCTCGGAGACTTGCCACGAGACAGTTTCACCCAAACAGATAGAATTAATTCTGAGGTATATGAAGCGTGGTAAGTCTCCGGGCCACGATGTATGCTGGTCAGCATGTCTGTAAGGTACTGGCGAGTTTTTTTAATCTCTGCATAAGACATAGTTACTTACCAGAGGAACTTACCCGTGCGCTGGTAGTTCCTATCACAAAGAACAAAACGGGAGATATCTCGAGCGTGGCTAACTATAGGCCTATCTCACTGGCCACGATAGTGGCCAAGGTGCTTGAACGTGTCATCCACTCCTACACAAGCGCAGTAGGTATTGATGACGGGCAGTTTGGATTTCGACCACAAGTTTCAACAGACATGGCTATATTCGCCCTAAAGCAGGTTGTCAGCTATTACAAACAGGGTAACACGACAGTATATGGCTGTTTTCTAGATCTAAGCCGCGCCTTTGACACACTTAATCACGATCTATTGTGGAAGAAGGTACGGGACACAAGTGTCCCGTCTGAGATTGTTGGCCTCCTCGAGTATTGGTACCGTAACCAGACCAACAATGTCAGATGGGGCAATGAGCTGTCAGACTGTTATCAGCTTCCATGTGGTGTCAGGCAGGGGGGGCTTACATCTCCTGATTTGTTTAATATCTACATTAATGATCTAATCGGGGAGCTGAGCAGGACTCCAGTGGGGCTGAGGTTGGATGATGATTGCTGATGATATGGTGTTGCTCAGCCCCTCGATTAAAGGCTTACGAAAACTTATCGCGATATGTGAAAGATATGCCAAAGAGCATAATCTAACATATAACGCAAATAAAACAGAAATGATAATATTCAGATCGGGAGAGGTGCCACAAAATGTCCCCGTCGTTTGTGTTAATGGGCAGCCTGTCAAGGTAGTGGACAACTTTAAGTACCTTGGCCACATCGTAACTTCCCGTCTTAAAGATGACGCAGATATCGAACGTCAACGTAGGGCTCTATGTGTGGTGGGCAACATGATTGCTAGGAAATTTAAATGCGCAGCGCCTGACGTGAGAATTACTCTGTTCAAAGCTTTCTGTCAGTCGTTTTACACGTGTCAGCTCTGGACTAACTATACTAAGAAGTCGCATGATGGCATACGAGTAGCCTACAATAACGTTTTTCGAATCCTCATGGGCCTGAAGCGTTATTGTAGCGCTTCAGAAATGTACGCGGAGGCGAGGGTCGACTCATTCAATGCCATACAACGTAAGAGGATTGCATCGTTCATGTCCAGGGTTGATACGTGTAATAATGGCATTATTAGAAGTCTGTCCGCTAGGCTGATGCAGTCAGCAATGTACCGACGCTGGGTGGATATTGCCACCTAGTATCTATTTGTAATTTATATTGTTTATATTATTTAATTTTTATTGTATTATTGTATGTGTACTATGGATCAAGGGTCTGAAATAAAGAATTATTATTATTATTATTATTATATTTGTATATTGTCTCAACTTTCGTTGGTATTTGGCTTCCGAAGACGGGCATCTGCCAAGTCTTTCGGGGGCCCTATGGGGATAATGATGAGGGGTTTAGGAATCGACGTACTATCGAGCATGTGTCTAGAACTATTGACTTTTGTAACTTAGTATATGTTGATTTGTGTAATTCTAACAATTCTATAGATTTATGTAGAGTTTTGGGTACTACACCTGTGGATGAAAGAATTATAGGTACTATCTTTATTGAGCTTTGGTGCCACATATCTTTAATTTCGTCTGCAAGTGGAATATATTTTTGGATCTTTTCTTGATGCTTGGTTTTCAGATTTTCGGTGTTAGGTATGGATATGTCGATGAGGTAAGTGGTCTTTGAGGATTTTAATGTAAGTGTGATATCAGGTCTGTTGCATGCTATTGTTTTGTCTGTTATTATATCTACATTCCAATATAGTTTGACTGTTTCATTTTCAAGGACATTGGTGGGTATATATTTGTAGTAAGGCGTGTATGTACTAATTAGTTTATGATTCAATGCTAAGCTTTGGTGTATCTGTTTCGCAACGTTGTCATGTCTTTTGATATATTCTTTTGTAGCTAATATCTTGCAGGCTCCTGTTATGTGATCTATTGTTTCCTTGTTTTGATGGCATAACCTACATAAATCTGTCTCTATCGATTCTTTAATTATGTACTTAGAGTAGTTTCTGGTTTTAATAATTTGGTCTTGGATAGCTATAAAGAAACCTTCTGTTTCGGCAAATATGTTACCTTTTGTAAGCCATGTATTTGAAGCTTCCTTGTCTATGTGAGTCTGTTCGAGTTGGTGGGGGTATTTACCGTGTAGTGCTTTTTTCTTCCAATCTTCTACTTTTTTTTGCTCTGTTATTATCTTGGTTTCAGGTTCATAGTCTCTGTCATTGAACTGGAGGGGGGTACCAGCTGTGGTCAGTGTAGTAATAGCTTTGTGTAGTTTGCTGTTATTGGCTTTGCTAAGAAAATATGAACGCAAGTTTTCTATTTGGGTATAATGTAAATTTTTAATGTCGATAAACCCGCGACCACCATGTTTTCTTTGTAGTGTGAATCTTTCAGTTGATGTGTGAATGTGATGAATGTTATGTTTGTTTGCTTGAGAACGTGTCATTGTGTTTAGGGCATTTAGGTCTGTGTCGGTCCACTTAATAATTCCGAAAGAGTACATAAGTATGGGGACTGCGTATGTGTTGATGGTCTTGGTTTTGTTTCGAGCGGATAAATGGGTTTTGAGTATTGTATTGAGTCTTTGACTGTATTTTGTTTTAAGGGCTTGTTTTATGTCTGTATGATTTAAGCAGGTGCTTTGCTGGTATCCTAAATATTTGTATATTTCTTTTGAATCCATAGTGCTTATAGCGCCTTCCTGTAGTGTTAGATTGTATGTTTCTGTTTTCTTGTGCTGTCCTTTTGATATGCTGTTGATTTTACATTTGTCAGTTCCAAAATTCATTTTTATATCATTGCTAAATTGTTCTGTTTGTTTTAATAAATGGTTAAGTTGGTTCCTGTTTGATGCATATAGTTTTATATCGTCCATATATAACAGATGTGTGATTTTAACTTTAGCTTCTCTATCTATTGTATATCCGTTTTCGGTACTATTTAATATGCTAGACAAAGGATTTATTGCAAGGCAGAACCATAAGGGGCTTAGGGAATCTCCCTGGAATATACCGCGAGCAATTTTAATTGGTGTTGTTGTAAGATTGTCTTTTTCAGTGCGTAGTGCCAATGTGGTCGTCCATTTTTTCATCATGTTTTCTAAGAAATGTATTAAAATATCGTCTACTTTGTATAATTTTAAGATATGTATTAACCAGGAGTGTGGTACGCTGTCAAAGGCTTTTTCATAATCTATATAGGCATAAAAAAGGTTTCTGTGTTTTTGTTTTACTTGGTTGTGTATTTCTATATCTATTACAAGCTGTTCTTTGCATCCCTTCGAGCCTTTGGAGCAGCCTTTTTGTTCTTCGGGGATTATTTTGTTTTGCGTGATATGTATGTTGAGTTTGTGAGCGATGATGGATGTAAGAAGTTTGTATATCGTGGGTAAACATGTTATGGGTCTATATTTGGCGGGATTGGTTGTGTCTGCGTCTTTCGGTTTTAGATATGTAATTCCTTGTAATAGAAATGTTGGTATATTTTGTGGTTCTTGTATGAGTGTGTTGAGTGCCTTAGCCAAATATGCATGTGTAGATGTAAAATATTTAATCCAGTAGTTTTGTATTTTGTCTGGGCCCGGTGCCTTCCAGTTCAGTGTTTTTCGTATAGCTGTTTCTATATCGCTTTTCTCTATTTTAAATTGTGTCATGTTTTCTATATTTTTAACTCTATTTTCCTCTAATTCTATCCATTTCGCGTTCTGATTATGGTATACACAGTTTCCCCATCTATCTTCCCAGAATTTTTGTACTTGTGTCATATCAGGTGGCTAAGTTATTGTGTGTGTTTTGTGTAGGTTACGGTAGAATAATTTTTCATTATAATTGAAATTTCTGTTTTGTAATTTACGTAGATTACTTAATTTATATCGGCGCAGTCGTTTTGATTGAGCTGCAAGTTTCTGTTTATTTTTGTCTAATTCTTCAACTACTTCGTTCCTATCTTTCCCATTAACTTTTATTTTTTCTTGTTTCTTTTGTGATAATTTTCCGTTGAGATGTTGTGTTAATTGTCCTATTTCCTTACGTAGTTTTGCAATTTTTGTTTCTATACGTTTTTGCCATGCTGGTTTGTTCTCAGTAGTTTCGGTTCTTTTAATATTTTTCTTATTTAGGTTGTTTTTTTCTATGTGTAGTGTTGTGACTGTTTTAGCTGCACAGTATATTATATCATGTAAATTTTCGATTGTCGTATCGTCATTATTTTGTAGGTATGCTTTAATGATTTGGTTGATAGTATTTACCGTTTTAATAGTTTTTCGACATGTTTGTAATTTTGGGATATGTGGTCTGAGTGTTGGGTCCGTTCCTTTAAATTTTATTAACAGTTCTGTAAATGTTATTATTATTATTATTATTATTATTAACACGATTTTTAGGGTTTCGAACATAAGACGTCGGGACCGTATTATTAAGCCTTATTTTTTTACGTTAGAAAATGCATTTACGCATACCACCTGTATACATACAGATGGTTATGTGGGACTCACTGTCTAGAAAAACCAGTACTACCCACTAAAACCCAACAGAACCTCCCACGTCATAATGGGGCGTCGCAGGGTCGCTTATGCACTCAACCACGACGCTCCGACGGTAGCAAGTCTGCCGAAGCAGACCACACAACCAAGGTATTTTTTCTACTTTCTACTCTGTTGTCAGAGAAGTACCAGGAGCACCTCCTTGTGTCTCTTGGCTTCGCGCCCGGCTAGGTTTCCGGACGCTAATGAGCAGCCCCACCACGTCAAGGTGAACACACATCAAGGAGGGTCCTATTATTAAAATATCTGTCTGTCCGTCAGTTATATCTTTATGGTGTCTTTTTTTTCAACCCTATTAAGTATCCGGTTGCATTTTTTACAGGAAATGCTCTATAGCAGCAGATTTCCTATCAAATAATGATATTAAAAAGCACTTGTTATATAAACGATATGGTTGTATAATAAGTAGCTATGTACTCGTATAATATTATGTGTATTTACTAGAAATTGCTCTTTGTTTTTTTTATACAATGAGGTACAGTAATAAATAAAAGCATCTAACAAGTTGTGATAATGGTGCATTCTAAAAGAAAACAGTAACCAACCATAATAGTTTGAAAATGAACTAAACCATAAATCATAAAAATTTCATCCAGTGTGATAATATGATGTTGTTTTATTTGTTGATGACACATTCCAAATATATTGTATGATAAACGGAACCCTCGGTGCGCAAACCTGATTCGCACTTGATTGCACTTTTATTAAAAAAAAAATAGTACCTATTAGTCTGTTAAATTTTTTTAATAAGTTATTTAACAATAAAGATTTTAATCATTTATCATTTGAAACTTAAGTTGCTTCGAGATACGTACGGGTAGGTACCTATATTTGTACAAAAGAGGTTTTGTGCAAAAAGTGCCTTTCTAATTTTCTTCAAATCACAGGTTGCAGGTAGTTTCATTTACGACAGCCTATTTAATTTAATATACATATGTATAGGTTAATATAAAATGTGAATTTAATTTTAAGTTTTTATAACTATTTAATTATTCTATACATATAATAAAACTGTAGAGGTCGAATGTCTGTACATAGAAAAAAAAAGACAAAAACTGATCCAGCCGGATGTAAGAAGAGAAATAGAACAAATCCAGATTATTTTCAATTTTTTTGTTTCTCTATCTGTTTGTATGGACTAATCTCCGAAACCGTTGGACCGATTTAAATGAAATTTTGCATGATAGTACCTTATATTCCCGGTCAACATTTTAGATACTTTTCATTCCAGAAAGCTAAAAAGTTCCCGTGGGATAGTTAAAAAACTATAGTAACTTATACAGCTTAGTATACAAAAACTCCTGATTGAATTTTAATTAAACTTTACAATAATATAGTTCATACATCAGAATAACAAATAGGCTACTTTTTATCCCGGAAAAATGTACGGTTCCCGTGACATAGATTTGTTTTTGTTTGTCTAGAGGCGGACCCGAGCGAAGTGAGGGTGAGCCGCTAGTATTTGTTTATTGATCTTGAGTTATGAAAGGTCAAGTGACCAATCATAAAATATTTTAAATCTTGCTATTAAAAAATCAATATTTCTTAAAAATTAAAACATAACAAATTGCCAATTACGAACAAAATTACTTGAGATTTGGTATAAATAAGAGCCGCCACTTTCTTTATTTTTGATTCAATTTTTGTTTTAAATATCACAAGTAAAAACAATTTTTAAAGTCATAATTTTCTTATAATACTTGCTAGCTATATAGCTTGCTTCCCAATACAAACTTTCATCCCCATTTTCACCCATCTAAGGGATGATTTCCGGGATAAAAATCATAAAAATAAAAAATAGGGAGTATCCTATGTCGTTTCCAGGGTCTCCAGCTATTTTCTTACAAAATTTCAACTAAATCGGTTCAGTAGATCCGGAGATTACCCCCTACAACGTCACAAACTCACAAACTTTACCTCTTTATAATATTAGTATAGATTAATATACTAGTCTACATTAAAAATCGACTGTCTTCAATATAATTTAATGTAAATAATGATTTACTATTTCCATACATTCAGGTTAGTAATTGTAAACACTGTCCCATAAAAATAAACAACTGCGTTGACATTTATCGCCTTACATTTGGGTTCAGATATTGGAGCAACAGAGATTTCCGTTGAATCATTTGAATAAACGAAGTCGCATCATTATGTCAGATCTAAGGATCGAACAAATTGGCAATTAGTGGCGCGCTAGCCTTCAAGCTTGAAGCCCGGGACTGCAAGCGGGTGTCGGGACTGGGATGACACCGCCCGCCGCCTGCTAAGTCATACACTACCTAAAGCCCCTGTTAGACTTGTCGCTATTAATGCTTTAATTTTCTTAAAAGCTGTTTTAAAAGAGTTTCATTCAAACTTTTACATAGAAAATTGTGACAAGAGAACAGTAAAAGCCGCAGAGAATCTTAACGTATGTACAATTTTTAGTTATTATTTCTAAATACGCCTAAAGTCATTACATACTGTGCAGATATTTTGTAATTGAATTTGTAGATATAAACTTACTGTCATTAATTCTAATTTATGTTCCTTATTTTCATAAATTTGAGAAATTATTATAATATGTGGTCGAAAACATTATAAAATAATTGTAGCAAGTACATTTAGTTATGAATTTACATATTACACCTTAATAAATTATGTAATAATATTCTATAGCACTCTGTAGGCCACCCCCCGAGGGTAGTAGGTGGAGGCGTCCAAGCGCTCTCAGTATTCAGAGTATCGCAAATGTAACTTTCGGTTCTTTTCATGGCTAAAGTATGTTGGCGGCAATCCATAATGGGATCGCCATTATTCTTGCCATTAATTCGCATGGCCCGGCTTCCGTGCATTAGCGGGCAGCGGCGGCGCTGGCAATCCACAAGGAGGGTCAAAATCTGAGCAATATTATGAATTGAATAACTAACGTGAGTAGGTACCTATTAACACTTATACGAGAGAAATATAACAACCACACGAGTTTATCAAATATTTGTAGTTTAAAGTTGACGTTTTATATGTTACTTAGAGTTGATATTCAGAAAGCTAATAAAGTACGTTTATAGCGAGCTCGGACTTTGCAAAATTAATTAACAGTGGGTGGGTATGCAGTAAATAAATCCTTCATTTTCCTGCGCAGATTGCATAAAAATAATCAAATAAGTGGCATGGACATTACTCAAAGCTTCGCAGCTGCATGATAGAATGAGACGGTCTGCATGCTTTCTTGCTCTCTCACCGGCTTCTCCACACACCCTATGACTGAAAGAAAAACTCTCGAAAAACTAATTACAAGTTGTAATTGAAATTTTGCGTGTTATATAATCGGATACTTGAGCCGTGAGTAATATATAAATACGATGAAGACGTGAATGGATGGGATAGGAATAGGACTATTGTACTCTTCGTTACAAGCTCTTTTTTAATTTTTATATCTATTTATATACCCATGTAAATTTAAAATTATGGCATAGCAAATTAATGAAATTGCAATATAAATTTAGGGTATATATAAATACTTACGGGTATTATTATCACTGAATATAATCAATTAAGGACAGAAAAATTAT